TATAACTCTAAAACATACCTTGATTTTGTAGAACAATACTCGACATATAATAGGAACCTAGTAGAAAGTGAAGACTGCCGACTATGACAAAGATTGAAATAATGTCTCAGCATGTTAATGATGTAAACTGACTAAGCTACCAGGACCGAGTCGCCGGGGGAGGAGACTGCTATAGAAAAAGGGTAGGGGAGCTCGTCGGAAATTTTGAAAAAAAAAAACATCTTAGAGGTTCCAAGATCCTCTTTCTTGAGCATGGAGAGTCACCAATTCTAAAACAACACATTATCTCCCGTCATGTGTTTCGGCTCAATACTCTAAAAGGTAACGCGAAAGCTCCCGCTGTGGGTCTTTAAAGGCTGAACCCCCTAAGAGGTATTAAGACCCCTCGGGGNGGGGGGGAAGAAGACTGGGTACTGTCTCTTTATCAGTGGTACTAGAAAATTAGGCATTGTTGGTTAAAACCCTGAAGTAAGTCTGGCTAAAAAAAAGTAGCTGCAACACGTGCACCGTGCACTTCTTTGATATTGGACATCCAAGTTATGATCAATTGACACCTGTCAAAACAAGGTATCCGCTAACAAGCATCACGTGACCATATCGCGGGCTCAAATTTACAGCCCATCGAGGTCGCGTGTTTTTTAAAAGTTGACCGCTGGCCAAGTGCTAGTTTTCGGTTGGACCGCGGGCTCATCCCAGGTTAACTTGTTACAAGCAGGGTAGGATTTTAAAAATACTGTAGTTGTAGTCAGGCATAGTAATAAAATCTTAAAAGTTGTCACTGACTTAAAAATCTTAAAATAGACGTTTCGGCTAAAATACTATAACCTTCTTCAGTGATGAAATGAATGTTAACGGCGTGTAAATGTAAATGAGATGTTTATAAGAATGTGAGGAACTCGCTAGGGATTAATTTAGCATTTTGTAAATGTCTGGAATATGCGCGTGACCATTAATTGAGTTCGGTTCGCGAATGGAATGCNGTTTGACCGATGTAAAGTTTTTCACAGTTTTTACAATTGATTTTATACACGACACCAGTTGACAGGTCTTCATCGAATTTGTCCTTCGGTTCTTTCAGGATCGAACCAACCGTCTTGACGGGTTTATGAAACCATGTTCGGAAACCTGTTAACGCTAACCTAGGATGAAAAGTTGACCGAATTATAACTTTTTCTTCTATACAAATGTTAGTTTTTTTCTGCTTTGCTTTGTGCGTATGGTGATTATTAAAACTCAAAACAGAAGGCTGAACAATATACAGAAAACCTCACTGCAAAGTTACATGAAATCAAAATTCTTGTGGTGACAAAATAGATCTCTGTCTGTTTTCAGAGTTTTATTCAAATCCTCCATTATTTTTTGTATTTAACAATTAGAGTATGAGTTTGTGATTTCTATCGCGTGGTAGTTGACGAGGGTGCAGCTCGAGTCAACTATTACGCATACAAATTGAGAGCGAATAATCTAATTGTTTTAGTATAAATGTACTAGTCGTTCAAAACTTTATCTACATCCTCTTCACAGACACTTCGAAAACGCCAAGACGGGGCCGTCATTTTGTTAACAAGGGTACACTGCTACGTTACTCACTGTCTATCACAGAATAGATAGTGAGTAGCGTAGCCAATCAGAGAACGACATTCGTGATACAACACTAGTAGATTTCTACTAAAATTGTTTAGTACATAATAGTTTACTGACGTATTAAAACAAAGAAGGGGACGCACACCGTTCTGAAAGGTGGCACCTGCCAGTTGCCGTGGATAAAAAAGAAATATTAATTGACTGCCTGAAATAGACAAAGAACAGAGCAAGGGGGGTTCTACGCCGAATTTTTAAATTGAGGGTAGGGTGTAGGTGGCGAATGGACTTAACAGATTAACAGATTCGGGAGGACAAGGAGCCAATAATGAAAGAATAACTTTTAGACTAGCCGAGGGTGCTTGATTTAATTGTATTTGCAGGTGTTTAATATATTTTCGTTGTATTTAGCGATGGCGTAGTGTGGCGGGGAGGGGGGAGGGGAGAGGGGGGGAAGGGTGGCTCCTGCAAAAATCTATATTTCGTGCCTCTCTAGCTCTAAAATAAACTGACAATTGGAACATTCATAGCGTTTGTATTCTGAGTAAGCCAGACGGAATCAGTTTTTTGTCACGATGGTAATTTCTTGACGACGTAGAATGAGAAGCCAAAAGGTTCTTCGGTTGTCTGAGATATTTACCGCTTATTGTATTATGTTTTATTTCAGGTAAAATTCATGGTGAAGCTGTTTGGAAAGGGAGGCATGCTTGCGTGCTTTAAGGACGCTTGACGATAAAAAGTATGTGACGAGAAAAGGATGAGAAGTATTCTTGAAACGAGAAGAATACAATAAAATCATGGATGAAAAAGAATTGTTTGTATCGTTTTTATCAGTCATTAACAAATCTCTTTCTTGCTATTGCCATTATTACTTTGGTTGGCCCTTTAATAGGGAGCTTTAGCAACAACGACGGCGACGCCGACGCCGAAGACGACGCCTAGTCAAAAATGAATTTATATTTTACCAGCGAAATTTACAATTATCTAGATCTGTTCAGTACGCCAATGGCTCTAAAAACGTGCTCAGGCTAAATACGCAATGACAGCGTTCAATTCCAAATAGAAATACGAAAAATTAGTCGTCGTCGTTCGCTTTCCTCAAACTACGTAGAACTTGGTCATTTCACCCTTACCTTATTTAAGACCAAACTCTGCGATTTTACCTACTCTATTTATGACATACATACATTCATTCATACATATATAAACTTTATTTTGCTTCGGATTTAAAAAGAGCAAAAAATTCGATACCCTGTTTAAGACCTGAACCCTAAATCAGTGACCGCTGTTAAAGTCACTGTGAAGGGCTCTTGTTGATGTCAGCATCGATGATGATGAAAAAGTAGCTTCTTCTAAAAAGACATGCCCAATTCAAGACTAGAATGCAAAACCACACCCTAATTAATACCAAGATGGCCAAAATCGATACCATTTTTCGATCTGACAAAACGGCTAAATTTTCCCTACCCTTTGGGGCCGCACATATCTTTATACCTCATGCCATAGAAGGGATTACCCCCCGGGGGGGAGGTTAGAAGGTAAGAAAAGGCCAAAACAATCAAATGCAGACTTTCGGCTAGTAAAGCGCGAGAGAACCTGTCTGTTAGCAAACACAATTCAAGACTTCAAGGCATCATTCCCCTCAAACTACCTCAGACACAAACATGTGAAAAGAGGAATTTCTTTAACCAACCTTATTGAAAACCCGCTTGACTGGACTACGAGTAGTCCCTCTTTCGCTTAGTCCGTCGTGCGTGACGCGAAAGAAAACCGCGAGACAAAAATGACCGCGCGAAATCCTGGAGGCGAGGAGCGCGCGAAAGGAGGGACTACCGCCTAAGCCCAAGAGTTTGAATTATGCGTTGCTCTCACAACGCAAAAATATGATTGGTTATGTTAGGTGCGTTGACAACGTCTTGTCAACATTCGAGATACGTGTGACGTCTTGCAGGAATGTTTTGGAACTGGAGCAAATCGAAGCGGTAACAGCGCAATTTGAAGCGTTGGAATCGCTCCGCAACCCGCAATGTTCTTGCGAATCGGCCAACAGGCATTGGAAAGATTTAAATTTATCCAGTGTTTTGTTTGGCAAAGCTTTCCGCCCTCAACCCGACTGCGAGCGTGTTAGTGATTTCGCCGCTCAACAGCATCGTCCAAGTCAGCGAATATAAATTCACTGAACTTGGCCTTTCTGCCGTCCATTTGAAAGACTGAACCGGACTTTCACTTGAAACCGGACATTCACCTGAAACTTTCCGCTGCTATCGGCAAACATTTCACCGCAGTTGGATGATCTCCTATGTCGAAGACATAATGTAAATTCTCGGTTGGAACTCAGCATTGAAATTTTCGCAATAGCTTTAAGATTTACACCTACAGACGCAGCGAAAATCGTTATCTGATGCCTCATTCGCCGTCTTCTTTTTAAAACTTCTTTTGTAGTTTCGCTGAACGAATACTGAACGAAGGTATACTTCTCACGGCATATGTTTTTGCCTGGCTACTTGAAGGGTAGAGTAGAGCAATTTTATTCGGGATATCTCCCGGGGTTATTGAAAACAGGCGATAATAAGAGGACGTCAAGATGAGAAATCCTACACCGAAAAATCACTCGGCCGTGAAAGAGCAAACTCTTGGGTTTAGGTGGTAGTCCCTCCTTTCCGCACTCCTCGCCCCCAGGATTTCGCGCGGTCATTTTTGTCTCGCGGGTTTCTTTTGCGTCACGCACGACGGACTAAGCGAAAGAGGGACTACTCGTAGTCTACCGCTTGACTGTCATCATTGTTGTCATTAAAAAGCCGCAGGCATGGGGATCTCTATATCAGTTAAACAAAAGTTAACCAGCCAGTAAGTACAACCCAAGTTAAATGACTAGTTCACATCTAAGGTTTTCCGTTTTCTCCTTAGTTTTTGCTGCACGTCCGTCCGTATTTTCAACTCTCTTCTTGGTGTTTGGAAAGGTGGTCAAACACGGTCTTTCGTGTTTGATACTTGACTTCAAAGAACAGATTCATCGCGTGCCCCTGGAGTGTGTCTACAAAGTTGTTGAAACACAGCTGAAAGCATTCATAAAATTTGAAGAATTCGTAACAGCTGTGCTAACACGAGTCGTAGGCGCGTGTTTCCACAACTATTTCAATTTTCTGTGAGACTAGTTTGTGACCGTGAGTGGTTATTATTATGTCCAGTTACGAAGTTACTTAAACATGGGAGAGATAATATTGCCTGATAACTCAATAAGAAGAATTGTATCGAAACTCTCGAATACCTCTTTTGCTTTGTTTTGAAATAAAAAACTTTAAAATTGAAGTAAACTTTAAAAAATATTCTTTAGTAGTTATTCTGGGAGCTGTCTGTTTGTCTACCCTGCTCAAACCACTCGATCTGTCAGTGGAAACGATATTATATTTTCGCTTTCATATTTGTGTCATATTAAATATACAGTAGATGCAAGGTGTGATTTCAAACAGAATATGGTGCTTTGTTCATTGGGACAAATATTAGTATAACCAGTTTCCTCAGGTGCAAATAGCAATATCTACCAGCGCATTCATTTGTTCATGTTTGTATTTCTTGAGTTCCGTTATGTTGACATGCATGGTACAGAAATGTTTAAATAGCGTATGGTGCAGCGCAGTATTTCACCGTGCTTCTTTGGAAACAAAGTGACCATGGCGTTCAAACTGATCCTTGTCCTGTCGATTTTCGCATCTTTTGCTGTTGACGCCCTGGATTGGAAAAACTGTGGTATGTAAGCCTTGTTCTTTCTTAAGTTGAATGTTTAGATCTAAGGAAGGAAAAATTTATCAATTTACACAACGCTGAAAATAGAGGCGTCCTTATTAGAGCAATTAAGGTGCTACATGTAAAACACCGTAAATCAAGTTTTATACCAATGCTAGTTTCATAATTTTCAAAAGCAAAACCGCATCTCGTTAAATGCGGTGTAGTCTGAGTTAATTTTGATGTTGAGAAGAATGGCCCACACCACGTCGAATGATGCAAACTAAATTATCAGGAGAGAGTGCCATAGGTTGCATTAGAAAATTAAGCATTGCTGGTTAAAGCTCGAAAGCAAGTGTCAATGAAATGAATAACAGGTACCTAAAGAACGTGTACTTTCTGTTAGTCACTAACGGTTTTTTGACCAAGTTCATACTTTGTCAACTTTTACTTTTATTTCAACAAAAACACCCTGGCTCTTTACCTTCGGTCGAACGATTAAATAGCGCTTTAGTCTCATGTTATTAGAAAATATATTTTTGCTTCTTTTTTATAGACGACACTTCCCCTGTAAGGATCGCTGATGTAAGGCTCCCCTCACGTCCTCTGAGGCTTGAGAAAAGTTCAAAAACTGCTTCTAGAGTCGCACGGGCTGCTGGATCGCGGTACAAAATTGGCGTGACCTTTTGGAAAGATGGACGACAACTCCCGTGTTTGAAACGGTGGTAAGTTTTATATCACAGTTAAAACTTGGCTTTGCATCGAACAAGTACCATTTGATGGCGCATTCCGATCCGATATTGCAATTCAGTTATTTCTGTCCCTGGTGAGCGAACGAGCGAGCAAATGAAAGAGTGAATGAATGAAAGAGATGAATGACTGAATGAATGGCTGAGTGAACGGCTAGAAAAGTAAAGGCGTTTAGCTTTGTAAAAACTTAAGGACGTTCGCGCTTATTGTTCCTGCGCATCCTTACTGCGCACGCAAGTTCACACGCCACGTCAAGCATCCATGCGCGCGCTAAGTAATAAAATGAACAGTGATAGGGCAGATGGCCATTGCTATAGCTTTGCCCGGATTCAACGATCGTGGACGTTCGGTGACCCCTATTTTTATTCTGATGGATCATTTTCTCTACCGATTTTCTACGTTTAGCGAAAAAATGAAGAAAATCTATCGACTAGAAGTTTGAATTTTTTGCAAAATGCACCATCGAATTCCATTCTTTTTAGCTCTTCCCATATCTGTGTGGCGGTTTCGAATGCCTCTTGAAAGATTACGTTTTGTGAAAACGTTGGCAACATTTGGAATTATTTACGCAACAGACCCACTTCTACAAAATATGACTAAGATCGTTTGCCTCCGTTGACTCACCTCGATATTTTTAACTATAAACCCTTGTAGACCATAATTACGTACGCCAATTTTTCAAAATCCGGGTAATTTTCCACGAGCTTTATCTCTGAAACGAAGTCGGTGACCCCCAATTTCTTTTGCATTTCTGACACAAGTAACCCATTGTCTGACTGCAGTAAAAATTAAAAAAAAAATCTATCGACTGGAAAATTTTCGCGCAAAGTTTCTACGGGAGGAGCTCGAGCCAGAATATTTAACAGTACTAAAACTCTCGAGTGCAATTTTTTAGTTCGGAAGAAACGTTATCATGGACTCATAGCATAGCGAATAAAACACATGCTCAAAGACTTCCAGACAGTAGTGAATGTATTTGAGATGTACATATAAATAACCGCTCGATGGCTTATAATTTTAATCTACCTTTCAAAAGCACTCGCAACGTTGGATGTGCCGAGATTAAGAAGTTCTTTAAAGGAGCACAGTGTCCTATGAAGCATGGCAGCTACGTCGCCATTGTGAAAAGGGAAATTCTGCCCTGGTCTGATGTTCCATTATTCATGAAGAGTGTAAGTATGGCGACAAAAAAAAAATGTTCTCTGTCAGTTATTCAAAATTTTCATCAAATATCCATCTAATTATTAAATATTAATTATTTGGTGAGCAATAGTTTACGGACGTATACAAACAACGAGAATCAGTGCATGTTAGCCAACGTGGGTACTAAATAAATATTAATTGCTTGACTGGTTGAAATAGAGAAAGAATATGGAAAGGGTGGGACCACACTTTTTGAATTGAGGGTAGAGGGTAGGTGGCAGGGTAAGAGAACAAAGATAGCAAGGAACTAGTTAATACAGGAAGGATTCTAAAACTTGCCAAATGTACTTGAATTCATTTTGTATTTTAATGTGTTTTATGTTTTGTGAAGGTGGATTTAGAGAGAGAGTCGTGGGCAAAAGGGGGTAGGGGTGGGGAAGTGGGGCGGGAGGGGAGTGGCTGCACCAGCCTGCAAGGATGGTTATTGTTGGGATAATTGAGACGGTAAAAGAACTACGAACTTGAGAATGCACCAGTCCTAAACTGATACTGCGAATTTGAGCGTTATAATTATGTTACTAGCCTATGTAAGCAGACAGATTTCAGCTGATTGTTTCATGCTAGTACTTCTTGACGGCTTAAAGCAAGACACGAAAACTTGGCGTGAAACAATTCTCGTCCTTCAAGATATTTACGGGGTATTCTATAATATTTCAGGGAAAATACAAGATGAGAGCAGATCTGAGAGATAGAAACAAACGTGTTGCATGCCTAGAAGCAGACGTTGAGATACCTACCTACCTATCCTTTCTATGCCGAGTGGCACGTAAGGCCTCCTCACTCTGCAGCCCACAAAACATGCAATCCGGTGCAACGCGCACCTCGCTCCTCCATCCAGCTATTTTCCTCTCTTTCTTTGCTGCCCTCCTCAATGCTGTTTTGGGGGGATACCGTTGAGAAGGGACGTTGAGAGAGGTTGCTGTTATGAGAAGTGAAGCCAACACGTCCAGACGTAGTCTTGAGAGGAGAGAAATACAATAAAATGGTGAATCAAAAAACATTTCTATTGTTGATTTTGTCATTATTAAATATATAAAAATTTAAACCAAAGAGCCTTTTGTCCCGACTGTCAATAATAAACTGTGCATCCATAAGGGGCAGCCGAATGACCATCTTGATAATTTTATGACGAAATTCAAGACCGATAACAAGACAGATATGTCAAAACTGAACTGACATAATTTTTTTTTATGCTCACAAAAGCCAAAACGATCAAGGGCAGATTTTTGGTTGATAAAGCGCGAGCGAACCTGAAATTATTTTCGGCAAAAGCAATCCAACACCAAGGCATGGTAAACTTCTAACTGCATGCAATTACTCAAAACAAAAGTGTAAAAAGAGACCCTTTAACTAACCTCCATTCCATTGGGAAATTCTTGAAATTCTTGAACTATTACCCTGTTTAGTCCACCCGGATAAGTACGTTGAACAAAGCGAAATAAAGCGTATTCTATTAATCGAATTCAGTTTATTCTAATTCATCTTACCTCGATCTTTCAAAGCAGTCCTGTTTAGAGGCAGTCTGTCACCTATTAGGCTTATCGAGAACTAACAGCGTTGAATTGTAAACGGTTTGCCAACATTTTTAAGATCCTCTCACGCTAGCTATTGACCGTAAAATGACCAAGAGGGCGTGTGAGAAACTTATATTGTTTAAAGGGGATTGAAATCACCCTCATGTCTCTTGTAAGTGAGTGCAGGACGAAGCATCCACGAAGTTATATTCCAGAGGACAGGAAATTTCCTAATCGGAAGGTGGGAGACGATTTTGTCACAAGCTACATAAAATCATTTGCTTTCTGTAATAATCCTAAATGATATAGCATCGTCCGATGTCATGACGACGGTCGCAAAACCAGTTTTTTCAGTTCATTCGCCGTTAGAAAAGTAGAAGATCCACTAAGCATTAATTGCATAGCTGTAAGTATTTTTTTTTATTCTAGCTTTCTACAGTGAACCAGTTAACAGTGAAAATTTATCACATCATCGTTTTTATCTTGAATGGAGCAAGGGATTTTGTGCAGACGAAAAAGGGTTTTGCTTCCTGGTGGCAAAATGTCCAGCTTAAGATGTCAACAAAGAACTTGTAAAAATTAAACATTTTTTTGTCTCAATGTTTTTTTAGTTTTTGAGAATTTGTTGAATTATAAAAGTATCAGAGATTTTAATAAAAAGACGCAGAAACTGAGAAAGAAAACAGTTGTCTAGTTAATCATTTTAAAACGGAAGTTTTTAGATATATTCGAGGAGTAACTTGACGTGAAGGCAAAATGCTGCAGAAACAATAAAGGCCTGATATCAGTCAGTTCTACACGAGAAAGGTTACCGCCAGCAATGATAGAATTAAAAGGTCACAACAAAGAAGCAAGTTATCGACAAATGAACGAAAAGAGTAACCGTTAGTGTATTCATATATATTAGTATGATTGCGAAGGAAAATGTTGATTTCATCAACCGCTAAAAACTTATACGCAGTCTCTGATCCAATAAACTAACTTTAATTTCATTCTACTAGCAGTGATATTGGATGAAGATTACTGACTGTTTGCCTTTAAATCAGAGCACTATGTTCCTGTTTTAAGAGGAATTCAAAATTACTTGTACTCTTTTCGGCCTGGTGTTAAAGCACGTCACCCGTCCACAAGAAAACATCCAATTAAGAACTAGGAACACACAGAAAAAAACAAATTACGCAGAAATGTGTCATTTCACGCGGTTGCTTTGGAGGGCACGCAAACGAAATGTATGTTAATGTATAACGCACGTGCAGCTAGGTATTTTGCTTGTTTTTAAACTTTCAGTGTTCTTTACTTCAGCTACTGTAAGAACTGGAGTCCTTATGAGTGAAGCGTTGAAATCCTAACACTTTTTTACCTTATGTTACATCCTTGAGCCCCACGTCATTGCCGGCCAGGCACCCAGCAGTGTCAAACCCCTTAAACACTTAGGTCGCTTTGAGCAAATGAAAGAAAAGAAAGTAAAGAAAGGCGTAAATTCACTTCTGAGAATGAAAGACTAATGAATTCGAATATTTCCAACGAATCAACAATCATTTTACTTTCTTTTTTCAAGTGGTGAATATTCCAAAATTCTTTGCTCCACCCAGGATTCACAGGGCTATGTTATAAGTTATGGCTTAACATCCAGCAAGAGTTCCTTACTTATGCAGCTTATCATGGTACCTCCATCAGTGTAAATTTCGATCTTGATTTGCACTTTGGGGTTCCAGGCATTCGTCTAGACGATGAGAAAAACACAAAATAAACCCAGTAAATTATTTTTCTCAAGAGAAGTCTTGCGTTGTGCCCTATTGAAATTATTCTTGGTTCGAGGCTTTGTAGAATAAGACTAAAGAAATCAGGTAAAACCATTAAAGCTTGTGATTTGAACTAAAATTTAGCTAGAAATTTACATCTTGGTTAGTTACGTAGAGTTATCGTTAATGGTGGAACTTTTGCTTCTTTGGTAACCATAATTTTCCAACTTTAAGTTAAAACGTTTTTTCCCCCAAATTTTACTTTTCAGCATTCAGCGTCTTATTATTCGTGTTGATTATGGAAAGAGAGTTGAAAAAAAAAAAAAAAAAAAACTGGCTTAGCCCTATTACTCTTAAAGTTACGTATTGAGTGGGCGGTGGGTGATATTTGGCAGTGCATACGTGAATCAAGTTCAAGCCATCAGTGGTTTAGTTCTTGTTAGAACTGCCTTGGCATACAATATTATATTTTTCTCATACCACAGTACTTGGGATTACGCCCGGTTTAACTGGAGGCACTGCCAGCTCAGAGGCACGGAAATAAATCACTCCTGAAATTGGTTCGCAAGAAAATGTCTCCGCTGCTCCTAACATCGCTGCCAACCCGTCACAGAGAGCAGTGATCACACTTGAAAAAAGCAAACACTGCTATTAGAACAGGATAACTGTAATGTCTTGAATATTTCATGAGCTGATCACATGTAAGATCACGTAATTACACGGCGTGAAATTAAAGAAGGATTTTTACAAAGCATGACGTAGTAGTTTATTTTATCTTAGCTATAGTCAAAATTACCCTCGATACCACAACAACTTTAATACAAGGAGTGTCTAGGCTATCACACACTTCTTTCAGCAGTCTACAGCTGTGCTGAGCGCATAAATAGAACACTGAAGTAGATTAAAACTAAACTCAGTTGCAAGTGTCGATTTAGAAATGAGCTTTTCCATGGTCGTGTAAACACGAAGCCGTAGACGACGTTCTTTTTGCTAGTTGTTTAGTTAATCATTTTAAAACGGAAGTTTTTAGATATATTCGAGGAGTAACTTGACGTGAAGGCAAAATGACGTTCTTTTTGCTAGTGATAACCTGGTATGCATCACCAAGAACTCTAAACATTCCAACTGCTAACACTGTTAATTCAAATCAAATTCGCTCGCAAGGTACTAAAACACTAAGTTGATTCTGAGCAATCCTATAAGCAAAAAACGTAGTAAAATGAAATAGTTTCCATTCAAACTTTAGTCAAGTGATCATCCGTGTACAAAGCCGTAATCAAGCTAGGCAAATTTATAACTTTTCCTTTTTCCCAGCAGAAATGTCTGAAATGCTTCTTTCCAGCAAATAACCTTTAAATTTTCCAGCCAGTAGACATAAAACTTGGATTTACACGCACAAAAAACGCGCTTCAGGGCGCCGGTTCCAACGCAATTTATATTCCTTGAGTGAAGCAAGTTTCAGTCGTTCATCAAGTACAACCCACGGGAAATACCCAGACTGAGGGGCTTACAACCTGGGTTCTCTAGCCAGCCGGCTAGAGAACAGATATTTCAAGGGACAGATCCGCTGCATACTCCTGTAACACATTATTGTGGAAATTAGAAGCGCCGATTGAAGTGAAAGTCGCAAATCATATCTAGAGTAAGTAAAAGGATTGGGTCACTGCTTTTATGATAACGCCCTCCAACATGGCCGAAGTGAACCCATGAACGTATACTTACAAGATATCATCATGTACATACCATTGCTTTGGATCGCTGCTTGAAGCAGTGAGTGAGTCAGGACAGTCGACGGGCTGATTCACAATAAATGGCATACCAAGAAAATATCGTTCTCCGTTCAAGTTCAGCCGTACATTGGCAGTGAATGAAGTGGCGCTAACAGGGACGTTAGTTGTTAGGCTTCCAGTGATTTCGAGCAGGTTTTCCTGATAAACTTTTAGCTTATGTAAGTCGGCATCAGTTTTTTGGTCGATTATGTGAAAATCTGTGAGTTCCAAGGCATAATCACCTGAAAATATTTCAACATACTTTGAGAAGATTGATGAAAAGATAAAGCGTAATAAAAGTTATTCCAATGCTCGACGTCAAATTTGTCCGATTTACAGATTCATGACGCACAATTGTCAAAAAGAGTGACAAGCAAAACTGACTGAGCACTAAAAAACGAAGTCACGTGGAACGGCTCCATATGACTGACGCACGTCAAAAGAAAAATATGTCAATTCGGAATCGCTGCTAAGTCACATGACATTTTGGCCTCAGCTGAGCTCTTATGTTCATTGTGCCACCAACTGCGGGAAATTCTGCTTCAAATGACATTAGCTGAGGGGAGAGATTTGGACGGAACTCCCGCACGCATAGTGCCAAAATGCAGTAAAGGTGTAGTGATAGAGAGCTGTTTTGCCATCTAGTGAAAAATCATTTGCTTACTGTACTTACTTTTAGGACATGACATAATTGCTTGTTCGCCATTACGAACGCTGGCCAAAAGTACCACAGCCATCAACAAGGCAAGCTTCATTCTCAGCTGCAGAGTAAACATTTGATAGATTTTTCGAGGTTGACTGGTCTAGATACAAGCCTTTTTGTTTCTCTGAAGGTTGAATAAAAATGACCTCACGTACTGCAAATAATAGATGAATTCGTTTTTTTGAAGTTTATAAATTCGTCATTGGTTAATTTAACAGAAGAAAAGTAAGATTACCAAATGGCGTCTACGAAAATCTCAACTGATATTGTCGACGCATCAGATCAGGGAACTTTTTAAACTGGGCTACTACAATTTAGTTGCAATGACTTCCTCGTCTTGTTTTGAGTTGATCATCATATAACAAAAAACGGTTTTCTTTTCTCCCAGGCCAAGAAGTCAAAGTTACGAAAATCTGAAGCAAAAAACCACTGCTGCTCAACTTACGTTGAGCTCAAAGTGAGGGCACAAAGTTTTTTATTTCATGGATCAAAGAGTGATAAAGTTTCTTTTCGCACGCCACAATAGAAGTAAAGACTTGAACAAATAAATAAATATCAAGAACAAATACAAATGATTAATTTTTTCAAACAAAAGATTTAGAACGAAAAGTTCAATTTCGCTTTGGTGAAGATAAGCTAGGATGGTGATATTAGCGGAGTAAGAAGGGATAAAAGATGTAATTCAAATTTCAACAAATGCCAAATAAAACTTGATCTTTTTTGTTAAAACTGGATACAAAATTGACCAAAGCTCTGGAACTGAAGTGTGTCTACTAATAAAAAGTGGGAGGATTTCAAAATTGTTCTTTTTTTCGTTTTGAAAAAAAATATAAATAAAACAAAATGTAGAATTCAGTATAAGAAAAAGAAACTGGCTAGATAGATGGGAGGGTTTTTTGTGGTTATTAATTATCGTTGATTTTGTACTAAATGCCGAGATTACAGATGGTTATATACTGAATTAAAATGAAACAAAGCTGGCCATAAACGCAAATCGGACGGAGGAAACTTCTACAAAGAAGCATTTGCCAACGGTTTCATGCCATACAATTACAACTTTCCCCGGAATTTTTCTTCCAAACAGGAATGGAAATCATTAAAAACAGAAAAATAGATGGCTTCTAGTAAGATCTCCAAGTATCATACGTATACTTGTTCGAGTGCACTGATTTTCACTCACTCGTCCTCTTCCACCTCGCGGAAAGCTCACTGCATGTTTTCTTATGTTTCTTAAATTCGAATGAATTTAGTGCAAAGTTTTTCGATTGCAGTATTTTGTTCGCTGTAAGCAGGTTTATTAAACTCTGTGGTATAGGGATTGCGAAAAACTCCGGTTACTGTCTTTAACAAGTGGTCGGTTCCTCTATTCTTAATTTCGTTACACCCCTCTGGTTCCTAATTTAGATTTGTATTTGATTTATATGTAATGATTTACGTTTGTATCTTACAAAATCTAACAAACCCCTCATACCATTTCAGTTGTTTGTCACTTAAAGTCCTCGTCTAGATCTTGTCTTAAGATTTGTCTTCACACGTTAGACTCTTAGGAGCAATAGGCTCGTCAAACTCTGGTGTCGCGTTTTATTGAACCCATCCAAATGATTTGTTTAAACTCATATCAATCTATTAATTTCTAAACTTATTGGCTCTAAAAGAGTGAAGAGTTAACAAAAAATAACGTTTCAACTTTGTCAATAAATGCCGGAGTGGTGATATTAGTTGTGTTAAAAGATATATAATAAAAACTTCAACGGAAAATATATGAAAATCAATCAATGAATGGTAGTTTTAACCGGGCATAGAATAGCCGAAGACTTTAGAAATTTATCGAGCAATAAGTTGTAGAAAGTTCCAGAATGTCTTTACAAAGTGTAATATGCTGTAAAAAAGACTTAACACTCAGGATTTCGATTAAGGTACAAATTTTCAAGAGAGAAATGAAATTTGGAAAAAATAAATAATTCCATGTATTCTGGAAGAAAATAATTAAAAAAGGTTTCAACTGGGGATTATGTCTGCCAGATGTAATTTTAGCAACAAAGAGTGGTAACACTAAATAGCCCAGTGTAAGATTAATTTTTTGCTCTACATGTTTCGCTTTGTGCAGCGTTGTAACAATCAGTAAATGGGAAATGAGAGCGGCAAGTGTCGCCAAATAAAAATTTTACGGTGGAAGACAAAACTCTGGTAATGCAATAGCTGATAAACAAATACCGAATAAAAACCGATTTGGCGAGCTTTCTACCGCGGAGAAACAAGAAATAATGGGCAATGCCATCCCGGAAACTAGAAAATACGCAGAAAGTCTCAATTAAGTTTAACTCAACTATGTTGGTTTGATACGGAACATTTCAAAAGGCTGGTAAATGTGCAACGAAAGCAACTGTATGAAGAAGAAGAGCAGCAAACAATTCACAGAAGACCTAACATCGGCCCAATTTCGTTCAGAAATTCGGCATAAAATCAAGCATAGCACTCCAGTAATGTTTGTTACCTGATATTTGGGTCTTGTGCTGTTATACCTCAATGAACTTGATCGGTTTTGAGCCACAAGATATTTGCAGTCTTGATGATGACAGCCACGTAAACAATTAATCTTGCTTTATTCTGTTTCATTTGACTTGCACAAGACGCAAAATTTTTACCAGCGCTGCTAATTCAGAAATTCCCGTAAAACGTTCTCGTTTGTCACAATTTTCCAGAGTATAAACGACTTTAGAGGACTTAAGCTTTCAGTAGAAAAGTCTCCCTCGCTCGCTTTTCACTGAAGTCTTTCCAGTGTCTAACAGCGGGCGCGCCGACCACTACACCACAAATTTTCGCTCCTTTTCATACCATGACTTTGTTTAGATCACACTGAAATGTCCTCATTGAAAAACTCTTAGTCCAAATAGTATGGCATGTAGTTTTCGATCTGTTAACGAAAATATATGAGATGTGCAGTTTTGTTTCGGCTGTATGTTTCCATACAAATAGTCTAATTTGATTCTCGAGGTTACCTCTTTTATCTACTATTATTAGTCGGTTCGTAGAAACACTGTCATGGTAGCTATTAAAACGAGAGGCGATTGTTTGGAAAATCTTAACATATGCTTACTGCGAGCCTGCCCTTCCCCTCCCCTGACTTAAAAAGTCCTTTTGGTTATAGGCCCATCTTTCTGCTACAGAGAAAACAATATTCTATATACAAATTCCCATCCAACATTTCCATTTAACTTATAAACGTCGTTAAAATGTCCTCAGAACATTTTACTTCAAACAAAATAGGCGGATACGTAGAATAGAATACGTTTGACTTGATGAAGTATGAATGAGTTTGAGAAGACTTCCTTTTGGAATACATGATCAAGGGAGTGAACGGCACAAAGATTTTTACCCATTTATACCTTTGGTTTTGGCCGTGCAACCCCTAGCCGGTGAACATTCACCTGTCCTCACCCTCAAAAAAAAAAAAATAATAATAAATAAATTCCAGGAGGAGCACCGCGCAAAAGGCGGTCAAAGGCTCTCTTCGAGGCTTTGTAATCCTCTGCCTCCTCATACTCACGTTGCATTTGTTTTTTAAATGCGCTCATTTGGAAATAGTGCAAGGGGAAGAAACAAGGGGAAGGTTCCTGCTTCTCTGGTAGCCAAACACTACTTCAAGAACTGCCAAGAGAGCTTACTCGCAGGCTACACGACTGGGAGTGAATGGGCACGCGTGGAAGAACGAGCCTGTCGGAATATGATCATACGAGCTCCAAGATCAGAGACTTAAAACAACACAACTACTACCATGAGTTCAACTTAGTTTCTTTCAGCTACCGAAATATGGCTCACACAGCATTTTGTTATAGTCGTGTTTCTCAGTTCTGAGTTACTTTAGCAATTTGAGTGGCATTTCTTCCAAGATGCAGGCCAATTTGATGGTGAGGCCCGCCATGATATCAGCATCGATATCGATCTCAGTATTAACAGCGGCTCCTTGTATTCCGCTCTATGAACCAAAATAGAAAACAAATTAAAATTAATAAAGGAATTCAAAAAAAACAAAAACAAAAAAAGAAATTAACAGACAGTTAATTTAGACAATCAAAAGAAACACGCCATAGTCCAGATTGAACTCTTTCGTTTCGAGCTGCTTCGGTGAAAATGTTTTACTTACACTTCATTTTATGTGGATGAGACTTATTTCCACGTGAAACGTGTTACATCAAACCTCATTTTGAAACAACTGGGAAAAAGTCAACTAAAGTAGCCTATTAAATAATAATAATAATAATAATAATAATAATAATAATAATGATAATGATAATGATAATGATGATGATAATGGTAATAATAACAACAATATTTACATTTTTATAGGGCGCATCGCCTAACAGCAAATCACGAAATGAAATAGCACAAATAACCAATCAACTAACTAACTGACTAAAATAACTAACCAATTACTTAAAAAAAATAACAGACTAAAATGAAGTAAAAATTAAACTTTCTTAAAAAAAATCAGTCTTCAGTTTAGTGTCAAAACTTTCCACAGTATTCGCTTTCTTAATGCCTTCTGGTATCGAGTTCCACAATTTCGGTGCGGCAAAAGAAAAGGCTCTTGCACCATAACTGTCCGTTTTAACCATTTGACAACTAATACTGAGTGACGAGCGTGATGCATGTAGATCGTAAATTATGCAATGGACGGCATTCCTTAAAGAGAGGGTTCAGGTAATTGGCGGATTGGTTGTGCAAGATCTTATAAGTTGTAAGTAGAATCTTAAAATTAATTCTCTACTCAACTGTAAGCCAGTGCAAGTCATTTAGTGGTGTTACGTGGGTTGAACGTTTGAATCCCGTCACAAGGCGCGCTGCGGTTTTCTGAATCCGTTCAAGCTTATCCCTTTGGTATTCCGGGATACCATAAAGAATGCCGTTGCAATAATCCAAACGAGAAATTACAAGAGCGTTTAATTTTTGTTTTGAAAGGATGGTATAACTGTGGTGACTTTCCTAATTCCCAACTAGCTAAGCAAAACAACAGTCTCCCCACATCCCCTCCCTCTAAGTCAGCGATGTTTGTAACACTTACAACAACGGATGGAGGAAGGTTAACTGGCCCGTCTAGCATCGTGCTCACCAGAAATTCTACATCACCAGTTGTCACAACGCAGTTGGGATCATTCGCGTCTTCAGCGCTAGCTAGTGAAAGAAGAAAATGTTTCTCAGCTTTTGGGGACGGGCTACTTTGTTGTCGAGGTTCCCTTAAAAACAAACCACGACGATGACGGCAACGAGAACGACACTAAACAAAAGTTTTAATGGGCAAAACAATGGTTGTGCACGTGCGTTATAAATCTTTGTTCATTTCTTTGCCGTCCTCTACAAACCAACAACGTGAAATGATCAAGTTCTTCGTACGCGAACGATGACGGCTAATTTCTCGTATTTCCATTTGCAATTAAACGCTGTCATTGCATATTTAGCCTGAGCACGTTTTTAGAGCCATTGGCGTGCTGAACATATCTAGACAATTGCGAATTTCGCTGGCAAAATAGGAATATATTTTTGACTAGTCGTCGTCCTCGGAGTCGCCGTCGTCGTTGCTTAAGCTTCCTATTGTTAGGGAAGGCGGGTTGGGTGGTAGGCAGTTCGGAAGTGCTGAATGACTGTGCTGACATTTCATTTCACTTCAGTCAAGAGAGGTAGGGCCGGTCTCAAATTTCTCTACTTTTCTTGCTTAGAACTCTTTTGATAGAATCGCCCTACCCCCCAAAAAGAAACAGAATGGAAACAGTCCGTCTGTCTCGGGAGACAAGGGAACTCTGCGCCATGATTCAGCCGGCCGTTTGCGGTTGAGGTGCAGCGCCTGTTGTGGCTGTAGAGGTCAATCCTACTTGCTCCACCCCCAACCCCGAAAAATAAAAAAAAAAACATAAAGCAGTTTACCATGCTGTAAACGTTCGTAAAAAGACTTGCCCCACCCCATTCCATATGTTTTGGCCCCTTCAAAAGGGTGGTTTTTCAGTGGTTTTTCGTACATGGCGTAGTACAGGTTCTAATTGCTAGAACCAATGGTTGTAATATGCAAGGATACAGATTATGTTGTAAGACGAAATACATCTATATCAGATGACTGACTGACGCATTCTTAATAAACTATTCACAGTGAATGTCTCGTGTTAGTGTAGTCAGAATTAATCAGAAGTTTACCTCCAAGCAGAGTTTTTAATTCCTGGCAGTTCACAAGCATATAGCTACAAACAAAAGAGATCACGCTTTAGAATTGTTGAGCCTCATCTACACGAGCAACTTTTATGTGACAATTCTTATTTGCTCGTGTAGATGAGGAAAATTGGCCAATGTTTATGTGACAAATATATTTGCTGAAAAGCTGGCGCATGTGACGAAAAAAGTTGTCACAAACGAAAAATTGCTCGTGTAGACGACTCGTTCACATAAAATGTGGCAAATATGTTCGTTAGCGCCATATTTTGGGAGAGTGAGTATGCAGCCTCGCCTTGTTTTTGCGTATCTCTGCTGTCCAAAGTCACTTCTGGCGCACTAAACTTTGAACGGTGACAAATATTTGCCGTGCCATCTACAAGATGAAATGTCTTTGTCACATAAAAATTGTCACACAAAAATTGCTCGAGTAGACGAGACTTAAAGCGTTTAAAAGGGGTGTGTTTCTTCGGGATGACCCGATCACGATTAATGATCCAGATCTTCAGATCATGGTGCATTAAGGTGGATCAAAACGGTTTTCAGCAATTTCCATGACGTATATTTTGATGGGTCATTATTACTGTCCAGTCACTGGCGAACACGCCTTTTTCATTTCGGCGACGCAATACGTTACCATAACAACAATATGACCTTCTAAACACACCCTTAATTTTAGCTTGAAGTACTTATATTTCAAAAAAGGGCTCAGTGAAACCGTTCTTTAAATCGAATTGTTATAAGCAGGATAAGATGCAACTTTTGGCAGAGATTAAAAAAATTCTGTAGATGGGGTTCAGAGCCACCTTAATATTTCGGAAATTTAAAAAAAAATTAGTTTCACCTGTGCCCTTTTTGAAATATAAGTATACTTAAAGCTAAAATTAAGGGTGCTTTTAACAGACCATACTGTTGCTATGGTGACATATAGTGTCACGAAAACGATACCAACGTGGTCACCAATGATTGGGTAGTTTTCTGATACCATGATTGCAGCATCAACTAATCAAGAGTAGTTAAAATGATCCATCGAAATCTACGTCTAGGAAAGTGCTTGTTCACTCTGGACAAGCATTCATTAGTTCCTTTGGTGCACCATTATCCGAGTGATCTTTGATCACCCCAAAGAAACGCATCCTTTATCATGTGGCTTCTAATGACGGTGCGTAAACTCAAGCACATAGTATGAGCTTGGAAAACCAGCAGGTTATCCAGTATAGTCTATCCTGGTTTACAAAGCAATAAAGGTGGGATGAAAACGTTTCACTTGCGGTAATTGACATACTGTCGAGGAAATTGGTTGTCAACACTCAAACTCGTAGGACACA